ATTAAATTGACGATAAAATAAAATAGGTATTTTCATTATTTTCAAGATTAAGTTAAATGTCAATTACTTAGGTTTTATTTCAAATATACATATACAGCCACAGTGTGTTTAAAAAACTAATATATATTCAAATAGAATTAACTTGGGTATGYCAAAAAAAACTCAGGAAATTAGCTAACTGGAGTTAGGACACACTATATAAATGGTACCTATGGTTTATATTTTTATAATATTATGGTTTATGGAAGTAMATAAAGATTCTAATCTAATTAAAGATTTTTTTCCTGAATACTGTTAAAATACTAAATACCTATTATATAATATTTAGGTATGGCGCGAACAATGTTTTCCATTAATTTATATGAAAAGAGCCTAAGAAGTGAGAGTACCTACTTGATAATTATTAAATATTATTATTGTTGAATAATGTCTTTTATCTAGGCTCTCTTATTGACATATTAAAATATAATTAATAGGTAAAATCTGCATGATACATTTATTTTATTTTATCCAAATATTCCAAATTGTACTTCTAGTTTGTACTGTTTCTAGGTTCTACATCTTGATTTGTATGTCGTAGCCCGTAGGTCGTACCACTCGTACCTCATGTCCTCATGGGTGGTGACGCYGTGACGGTGACGTTAATAACGTATGACGTCACCCTAACCAAAACTGCGATAATAGTTTTTGGAAGAGGAGTGGGGATCGCTTATCGTTTATGCCATTCCCACTTCACAATATTGAATTTTGTTTGTTTTGTTTACAGTTTACAAGTTTACTATATAATCATAATTCCTACTATATTTCGGTCTTTGAGATAGGTAGCGGTGTTCGTGATTTRTTTGGTAAAAAGTTAATYAATTTAATTTTTTTTTTTCATTTTCATGTTAACTTAAATGCAAATTGATTAGACAATATTATAAATTGTACATAGAAAATTGTTCTTTGACAAGTCTATGATTTAGAAATAGTTGAATATACTGTTTATTATCAATTAACTACATTCCTGTAGAATATAGTAATGTGACAACTTTATTTGACACTATATTTTATATTTTTGTTACATTGAATCTAAATATTTATAAAAATGACTTGGGGTTTTGTCACTTGTGGTCCTAATGAGGCTTTGGTTATATCAGGTAATTTAAATGTAATACAACTAATTGTATTTTGTTGAATTTAGTTACTGTATTATAACTTCCATTGATTGATATATTGATTGTACTATTTTTTTTTTTCAGTTAATTAAGTGGTAATAATATTTTTTTGTTTCTTTTTATATTTTTCATAACTACCATATTGGTTTTAAATTTGTTAAAGTATTTCAATTTTCTTTTAGTATGTATGGACTTACTTATAATGAAATTTAATACTCTTTTTGACTTAACACATCACTTTTTAAATAAAAAAAAAATATGTACATATTATACTGTGGAATTACAAAGAAAGGTTTTTAAGGGGTGCCTATTTTTGAGTTTTTTAATGGTGGCTAGGGGTATAGACAATAATTTATTATTAACTATAGTATATTAGTAATAACTAGGACAGGTAGTTACAATTATGTTAGTGTATTTGCCTTTATCAGATAATTGGTGCTGTTGGGTTGGTGAAGTATTAGACTAGCCTCTGAAAAATTTCAAGTTCGCCATACAGTGTTGTAGAGAACTCAGTTGAAGTGTTTATTTTGTAGATTTGCTATGCTGGTTATGTTTTGAACTTTAATAATTGTGTGTAGAGAATAATTTAAAATGTAAGGAAGTGCATTTTGTTGTAGAATCTGGACTTACCAATGATAATTACTATTGGAACAGTTTTTACACAATTGAAATTTGAATTTTTTTTCTTCTAGGATTTTGTTATGGTAAACCAAATTTGGTACCTGGTGGAAGAGCATTTGTTTGGCCTGTTATACAATATTGTCAGAGGTAAATAATATACTATTTATATTTATTTTAAAAATTTATTTCGAGAAAAAATACTTTGTCATGTACCCGTGTCTTACAGGGAAAATTATATATGATAAATATGAATGTAATTACAAATTAGGTACCTTTACAATAATTTTATAAATTGATAACTGATAGTAAATTAAGGTAAATTAAGGACAATAATCTTAGTTATTTGTAAATTTTATTTTAAGCTAAATTATTGCAAATATATTTGTTATACAATGTTGATTTTTATATGTATGCATCCAGTTTTTAATTTGATGTATTAACATGTTAAACTTATATTATTGTTATTTGCTGATTACATATTAAATAAGTTTTAAATATTTTAGAATATGTTTGAACACTATGACAATACAAGTTGATAGTCCAAAAGTATATACTATCCAAGGTGTGCCATTATCTGTTACTGGTATAGCTCAGGTATGATACCTTATTGTAAATAATAATAAATATCTATGTTTATATTTTAAATATAAAAAATGCAGACTATTTCATTTTTATTATGGAGTTTATAAGTGGTCAATAAAATAATAGTATTATATAGAAAATTATTCTTGTGCCTACATTTTTACTAATGTCATTTGTGGAGTATAGATAAACAAGTTTGAGTTGTTGAAATTCATACAACCAACTAAGTCTTCTTCGATAATAATATTTATTAATGGTCAATGATAATAAACAATATATTAAAAATGCTCTCAACCTGTAACTTTGATATGCTTTATATTTTTATGATTGAACTATCAGCTGGTAGAAGTAATTTATTATTGCTTTCCTTGATTATGATGTATAAAAATCTGTAAAAAGCCCAATTCAACTGTGCATGTTTGAAAATCAAACAAATATATAAATTAATATTTTGCAAAATAAATAGTATGTATTATCATTAAACTTTATAAATTTATAATATTTATATTTTGTATTTAGTATTTACTATTTATTAATTATTTATCATGTAATAATATGCTTAAACTTGAAGATAATTATTGTTCATCTTTTATTTGGTAAATTATTTAATATAATTATGTTAGTATGTTTTTTAGCAAAAATTTAAAACAGATTACAAAGTTATATGGTTGATAAAAATAAAAATAAAAAATAATAAAAAAAACTGTAAGTTAATTAAATATTATTATTTTAGAATAATAGTTATTTCATTTATATAATAAACATCTTGTGAATAGTGTACAATAGATAATGAATGAAACACTTAATTCAAACATTACATTTAAATGTAATATTTTAACTTGGTTAAAATTACATTATATATATATATATATATTTTTTAGAAGGAATTTGTGGCAACAGGCCATTGGGTGTGGGGTGGTATGATAGGGGTAATTTTTGTGTATTTGTTTGTAGGTTTTTAAGTTGATTTTTTATTTGTTAAGCTTTATGAAGTAAGATTTTTTTGATTATAAGTGTCCTTAAATTATTAATGATTTAAATGTTTAGGTAAAAATACAAGGGCAAAATGAAGAAATGCTTTTAACAGCATGTGAGCAGTTTTTGGGGAAACCCAAAGAAGAGATACATGAAATTGCATTGCATACTCTTGAAGGTCATCAACGAGCAATTATGGGTTCTATGACTGTAGAGGTTTGTTTATTTAAAAATGTCTATTCTTTATATATAAATAGAATAATATATGAATTAGAAATTACCTATATTATTTTGCTAAATTTTAAATTAAAATTGAAAAAAAAATTATCTTTTATTAAATTTTATCTTGGGTATTATTATGCTTAGTTCCCTTTTTTTTTATCTCTTTCTAATCTGTATTCAATACTTTCTAGAATACTTAATACAGTTCTCATACTTTTGTTCTGGTGTTCCAATTATCAACAATTGGTTTTTAAAAAAGAATTTTATTTTAATAATTTAACTTTTTCTAGAACACTCTTCTTTCTAGATAGTAAGTTGATTTCAAGATTAAATTTGGAATTTTTTTTCTTTTAGAACATTATTTTCTCCTTTTGATTCAGTGTTTATAACCGTCTGTAGTTGTTTTGAAGACCCATAAAATTTTTTTTTATTGAGTTATACGTTCAATTTCTTGAATGTTATTTTCATAGACTGGCATAGGTAAATTGTAATAATTCTTTATAGTTTGAGCATTAAAAAATGTCATTGTTATATTTTTAATAAAGTGGCTTTGTATGGAGCATTGTCTGCTATCAATCCCGGAATGTGACTGGGAGTAAGTAATGGCTGCAGCTACTTGCTCTCGGATGGGTGACCATTTGGGTTCATAGTAGTTAAAAACCTTGCCAAACATACACGTGTTTTCTACCTACCGTAAAAACTGTAAAAACAAACTACTGTAACAACTGTTAAAACATTCTACCGTACCAAAACCTTACCCTTACCACAGTTCATAACCCCTACAACAGCTAATGACCTTTGCGGTGGAAGACATAAGTGCCAAAATAATATAAGAAAAAAAAAGTCGTATCGTACAAAAGCGCCAAATCGTATCATTCATAAGCGCTAAAATGAGATAAGAAAAACAAGTCATATCGTTCAAAAGCGCCAAAATCATATCGTACAAAAGCGCCAGAAATTAAAAAACAGATATTAAATTTAGAACTATATCACTCAAAAACTCCAAACGCTTAATCTTAATCGACAAAATATGTATTATATGATTATGATAGATTGTCAAATAGACAGTGTGTGAGCAGTTTGTGTTATAACATATTGTTAGTACCTATTTCGTAAGCATCCGTGTAAGCATCATTCGTTAAAATAGATTTTATAAAAACTGTTACGAACAAAGGTGTTGTGTGTATTTTATTTAAAGAGCAAAAATATAGATTTTTAAGAGAAGTGGCCAGTGGTAATGTGTAATTGAGGTGTACCAAAAAATAATTGTACAATGGAAGAAATACCAGGATGGTRAAATAAATCGTATGGAATATGTCAAAAAAGTGGGATTAAAAAATCAACCAATTTATTAAATGTATAAAATATTGATGTGAATATTATGTACCTAACTATATTATAATTTACTATCAACATAATAATATTAATATAATATAATTTTTATAAGATATAGACATTTTTAAATAACTACCTACTTAATACTTATATGAAATATTAATTTTGGCGCAAATTATAGGTCATTTTTGTACCTTTGGCGCTTATGTCATATGTTGGGTATAGCAGRTATACAATATTAGATTGGCACTTATTTTCTACAAATTTTGGCGCAAATGATAGGTCATTTTTGTACCTTTGGCGCTTATGTCATAYAGCCGGCCTTTGTCACCAAAATTTCTTAATAGACAAGACATTTTGTGTTGTGTTAAGAAAAATATAGTAGGTAATAAACTGTTGACTATATTACAATAATATAATCGACATGTAAGTTTTATATTAAAAAAAAAAAAATTAT